TCTTCAATCAGAATATATGCAGTCCGATAACAGTTCTCACCCCCAAAACAGGCTCGGAAGCCAAAAACATATCTGAAACCCACTTAGAAAGCAATCTGTAATGCTGAAGCAGAATTAGGGTTTTAATCGTAGGGTTAGGAAGACCTTTGTGAGAACATAAACAGTGGTCAACCACACTTTCCAAAAGAATTCACAGTCAAGTCTAGCCGTAGGGTTAATGACAAACCCTAAAAAAAAAAAACTGATCACCTCTGAGAGAAAATAGGAGAGTTCGGCCACTCCTAGATTGGTCCAACCTATCTTGACTGACAGCAATCTCAAGGGAAAAATAAAGATTTTCTGAGATAACTCTGATCGCTACCTTCAATCGTGGCCTGAACCCTTACCTTCTCTGATTCTTGTTGATTACCAAAACACTCTGCAAGCCTCGACAAGTCTTCGAACAACTGCTAAACTTTTCTGGTAACCTCCAAGAATCAGCCAACGAACAGTCCTTCCAGCCCTAGACAGTTCTCATGTGGTCGGCTGGACTAGACTCACATGAGAAACCCTAGATAAGCTCTGATACCAAGTAGTCGATCAAGACTACTGTCAGTCTTGAATTCCAATATATTTCGGATTGAGAAAAGTTGAAGAAAGAGGGAGAAGAAAGGAGAAGCAGAAGTACACAAGGGTTTTGAAAGAAGGGACAGATCGAATGAATCTGCCGCCGCCACTCTCTTAATATTTATAGTTTATGTTCCAAAATGTAGGAAAGGACAAAATTGCCCTTAATACTTACATGGCAAATAAAACAAATAAATAACTGAGATAATAAGCTGTCTAAGATAACTACCAACTAACACTGACAAACTAATCAAAGGTTACATGTGTTGTCATACGAACACACTGGGGACCACAGCCATAGGGCCCACATCAGTGTTCTCTACAGGTACCAAGGACACAAATTCGGGCATGGGCAAGTTGTTTCCACTTCTGCAGAAGAGCCTCTTGCTTCTCCCATCATTACTGAGGTAACAGGTCAGACTTCCTCTGACCCATCTACTTCCTTCACAGACCTTGATCTTCCTATTGCCCTTTGCAAAGGTAAGTGGAAGTGAACAACACATTGTATCTCTAAACACCTCTCTTATAGCCTTCTATCCCCTACCTATTACTCTTTTCTTGCTTCTGTATCTTCCCATGTGATACCGAGGTCTGTACTAGAAGCTCTATCTAAACCTGAATGGAGGGATGCTTTGATGGTTGAATTGGATGCTTTGCATAAGAAGCATACTTGGGATATTGTGGATTTGCCAGAAGGGAAGGAACCAATAGGTTTTAAATGGGTGTTTACCATTAAATATCATTCTGATAGCTCTATTGAGAGGTTTAATGCTATATTGGTTACTAAAGGCTACACTCAGATGTATGGTATTGATTTCCTTGAAACCTTTGCTCTTGAGGCCAAGATGACCTCAGTCCGGGTTTTGTTGTCTTTAGCTGATACATTTTATTGGCCTCTCCACTAGTTTGATGTTAAAAATGCCTTCTTGAATGGAGATCTACATGAAGAGGTCTATATGTCTTTGCCTCTGAGAGTGTATGGAAAGGAAATGGAAGGGAAGGTGTCTAACCTGCAGAAATCCATTTATGGTCTCAATTAGTCTCCTCGGGACTGGTTTGAGAGATTCAAGGCTGCTCTTGTCTCCTTTGGTTACACACAAACTCAATCTGACCATAACTTGTTTTTGAAAAGAAGTTACTCTTTGGTGACTTTTCTAATTGTTTATGTTGATGACATTGTGGTCACGGGTAATGACACCCAGGAGGTTAGTAAACTCAAAAGGTTTCTTAACTCTGAATTTGAGATCAAGGATTTAGGAGATCTCTGGTATTTCTTGGGAATTGAAGTTGCTAGAGCTAAGGATGGTATTTGAGGTTGATAGACACTTTATACGGGAAAGAGTTGCTTCAGGGGAAGTTTGTTTGCCATTTATTACTTTAGAAGAGCAATTGGCTGATGTTATGACCAAGGGAGTTCCAAGAGGGAAGCTGACACACTATATAAGCAAGCTGGGCATGATTGACATCTATGCTTAGCTTGAGGGTGAGTGTAGAGAGACTGGGCCGAATGGGCCCTAGTATCTATCCTTTTATTCTTTGTAATGTGTTATCTATTTGTTTTGTTAATGGGCCTGTTACTTCTTTTTGTAAGCTTACTTTAAGTTCCTGCTTAGCTGGCTACCACTTAAGGGCATGCTTGTAATTAACCTAGTTAATGAAGATTAACAAAGGATTGGAGAGGGGAGAGAGGAGATTATCGAACTCTTCTTCTTCTTCTTCCTCTTCTTTTCTCCATCTTTTTCCTTTGTACTGCTGTCTTCTACCTTTCTTCTACTTTTCTCTCTACTTTTAACCAAGTTTATATCAGTTTTAGAGGACTGATTCACTTCTCTTCATATCCTTGATGGGGTTTACATGGAATCCTTAAAACCTGACAGTCGTATTTGGACTCCTTTCTCCTCTGGTTCCTTTTCTTGTGCTTCTTTCTTTAAGGCTCTCATTCAACCTTTTGATTCCTCAGGATTCCGTTTCCAGTGGCTGAGGTATGGGGTAATCCTATCCCTCCAAGAGTTAGGGGTGTTGGGAAATCTTCTTGGAAAAAATTAATACTTGTGATTTACTCAAAAGGAAAAGAACAAATTGGTGCTTATCTCCTCATTGGTATGTTATGTTTAAGGATAATGGAGAAACTTGCTTTCACTTATTAATCTCTTGCCCTTTTGTTACTTTTATTTGGGAATGGTTTTTCTTGCTATTTGGGTGCAGGTGGTCTCCCTCAATCACTGTGCAAAGTTTGTTTGATTCCTCTTTCTTGAGGTGGCCCAAGAAAAGGGGACAAGTATTATGGAGATGTGTTAGGGTGGCTATAATTTGGAACATATGGGAAGAGAGGAATGCAAGATTGTTTTCAGAAAAGGAAAGAAGTAGAGAAGCTATAATAGAAACCATTACGGTGAGAGTGGTTCATTGGGTTAAATCTGATGGTCTTAGACCCAATTTAAGTCCTGTTTGGTCTCCTCCAATGCCTAATTACGTTAAACTGAACTTTGATGGGAGTAGTGCTGGAAACCTGGGTCCTTTGGTATTGGAGGGGTTTATAGAGATGGTGAAGGCAGATTTATTTCAGGCCCAATTGGAGTAGGTGGCTCCCTAAGGGCTGATGTTATGGCTGTCATGGAAGGAGTGCGAAAGGCAAAGGAAATGGATGTTAGGAAGTTGATTATCGAAGGTGATCAAAATTAGTAGTGGAATGGTTGCAAAAGGAAGGCAAGGGTTTCTGGATGTACATCAATGATAAAAGGACTGCAAATGTTTTTGCTGATGCTTTAGCTAAGCAAGGGGTGGGAAGGAATCATTTGTTTTGGGCTCAACTGTAATTGCATATTTGTTGTGGAGAGGTAAGACAGTTTACCTCTCCCAATCCTGTAATTATTCTTTTATAAAGTTAATGAATTTCAGTTATTGATCAAGAAAAAAAATCTTAGATGGTGGTGCTTAGAATCGGCCACAATACCAGACTCAATTATTGGAACAGGAAGAGGTAGCAACGGTGAAGTAGATAAAACATTATGACCATTGAAGAAAGGAAATGACTCAAAAAAAGTAACATCAGGACCCTTTTAGCTCTGAAGCCATAGTAAGAGCTCGGTTTTAATTTGAGATGAAAGAAAGCAAGTAAGAAAAAGAAGGCAACGAATGGAATTAGAATTTGGGTAGGGAGCAAAAAAATCAGTTTCCTCTCTCAACAGAAATGTATTACTAATAACTTGAAGTATAGTAGAAATAACCAATCCTTTTAATATAATATCTCTAACAAATGAATATATAAAAAAATGCATGGAATAAATTTTTAGATTTGATAAAGTTCAGATCTGTGTAGCCTTTAGATTTGAAATAATAAAGGAAAAGAAACAATGGTGAAAGAGTAGAAGAAAGAGAAGAGAAGAGAAGAGAAGAGAAGAGAAGAGGAGAGAAAACAAGGTTTGGTTCGAACAAGAGAGACTTCTCTCTAGTCGGCAAGTTTTATTTAGCTTTCTAAAACAAATTTACAGACTATGTGCCCCCACTCAAGTGTGGGACACATCACTTAACTTAGGATTTACTTGCAACTACATCAAGCATAGAACACAATGTAAATTGACTATACTACCCCTCTACGGCTGACTCTAACAAGATTCTTCTAATAATCATTCTCTTTCTTGACTGTTATTAGCTGATTTCTTTAATTTCATGGTATTGTTTCTGTCTTTTCTTTTGCTTGCTACCTTTTTCCATGTATGATTTCTTTCTCTTTCTGTCTTTTCTTTCATTTCATGCTATTGTTCCTGTCTTTTCTTTCACTTGCCCTTTGTCAGGGTATAATAGTTAGGTTGCTTTGGGGGCTTTATTTCTTCTCTTGGGTGATGCTTTATCACCTTCCTTGTGTACTTTCTTTTCCCTTTTAATGATTTTTTTTCTTTACTTCTCGAAATGATATTTGGTGGTTGTCTTTCTGCCATAGGGATGTTTCTAGTTACAAATTTTTGTTCTTTTCCCTGTTACTTTAGAACAGGCACTGAAGAATGGTACTCAGGCACAACAATTTAAAGCTTGGATTGAGAAACTCAATCTTTGGATGAAAGAGTTATTTTTTTCTCGATGGTCATATTCTTATGATGGAAAAAGCATACCTGATAACCAACTGGGAGCTGATCAACCATCTGATAATGACCTTCCTATTTGGCTTGCAGCACAAAGGGCAGTGCCTCGTTATGAAGGTCTTTTGTCATCTATTGGGCCCCGTGAGAGACTCTTAAGAAAGTTACTTATGTGGATTGGAATGATTCCTTCTATTCCAGAAACATCAATTGAACTTGAGATGGATAGTACAACTTCTGAACCTTATTTAAGGTTTGTCTTAACTGCCCTTATGTTTTTCCTTTTCAAAGCTATATTTCTTTTTCATTTATGAGAGGCTTGATTTTTATTGTCTTCTGTTTGTATTTGGGAAAGATGTATGCTAAGAATGTCAGCAGTACAGTTAAACCAAGACTAGTCAGCCATTGGGCCACTGAGTGGCTTAGTTAATTTTCAAAACCAAACCATGCATCAGAGCATTGGATCTGGTGGTTCATGGTTCAACAGTTTCTGGTTTAGGTTGCTTATTACATGATTTCTCATGGTATCTGTGATCAGGAGAGGAATAAGATAAATAAGGTGCAAAAAATCTTAGCAACAGTCCATATTTGGTTCAGATGGGAGTAGGAGAGAAGAAGTTGATGAACGAGGGCTGAAAGCAAGTTGAGATCGAACGGAACCAATCCCTAACTGCTGTGCCACTTTTCTTTTATTATAATAAAACTGAAATTACATAATTACCCCTGAAATAGAAAAACAAATAAATCATAGAAGAAAATAAATGAAAAAAGACTAAAGGACCCCTATGATCAGCACTTATAATTTAACACTCCCCATCAAGTTGGAGCATTTCATCTGTGCTTGACTTAACCCTTTGGTGAAGAGATCGGCTAGCTGATCGCCAGACTTCTTGTAGGGTGTAACTATTTCTCCACTAACAACTTTCTTCCTTACAAAGTGGCATCCATTGCTATACGTTTGGTTCTCTCATGACATACTGGATTGGAGGATATGTAAATAACTGCTTGATTATCACAAAATAACTTAATGGGAGTTGAAACTGCCACTTCTATCTCTTGTAATAGCTGTTTTTAGCCACATCAACTCACGAGCAGTATATTCAAACCCACCTGAGCAAGGTGATGTGGTTAGATCAGAATTATTGGCTGCAGTTTATGGGGTTGAGAAGGCCAAAGAGTTAGGTGTTGAAAGACTGATTATTGAGGGTGATTTGAGAACAGTTGTGCAATGGCTGAAATAGGGGGAGTGGTGACTTGGCACCTAAGGAATGACTTCAGGTGTTTCAAATGGCTGTCAAGACATGTTGATCCAAGTTAAATGGGTTAGGAGATCTGCGAATAGTCTGGCGGATGGTTTCGCTAAGCAAGGGTACAAAGACATTCCTTGTATTGGGCTGAATTGTAATACTTGGGATGGATTAGCTCTATTGGACTTGTTTATTCTTTCACAACTTCTTGTTGTAATTCTAATTTCTAAGCTTTATGAAATTATTAGTGTGTTTCTGATAAAAAAAACACAAGCCGTACGGGCCACGGCTTTGTACTTTGCCTTAGCACTACTCCTACCCACCTCACTCTTCTTCTTACTCTTCCAAGTAATCAAATTCCCTACCAGGAACGTGCAAAAACCAGTCAACATCTGTATATCCCTCTAAAGAGAGTTCTCCTTCTTTTTTATAAAACAACCTTCGAACTGAAGCACCCTTTAAATAATGTAGCACTTTAATGATACCTTCCCAATGGGTCAACCTCGGATTCTGCATTAACTGACTCAACAATCCAAAACTAAAGGGGATATCTAGTCTTGTAATTGTGAGATAAATCAGTTTCCCTACTAACCTCCTGTACCATCTGGGATGAACTAAAGCTCTCACTCACTATTAGACATCGTTACATTCAGATCTATAGGGGTATCTATTGGTTTTTCCCCTAATAGACCAATTTCTTCCAACAAGTTATGCACATACTTCCTTTGTAAGGGTGAGATTCCTCACTTTCACATTGCTACTTCTATAACCAAAAAATACTTCTAGTGCCCCAAGTCCTTAGTTTGGAACTAGTTTTGTAAAAACTATTTCAATTATTCAATACTCTGTTTATCACTCCTAGTAATAATAATGTCATCAATGTAAACTGCCAAAACTTTCTTCCCTAAAGCTGTATCCATACCAAATACAGAGTGATCAACACTACATTGTTTCATCCCAAACTATTGTACAATTCTACTAAATCTTCCAAACCTGGCTCTCAAAGATTGGCTTTTTTAATTTGCACACCTTTCCCTCTCCCTGAGCAACGTACCCAAGTGATTGTTCCATATACACTTCCTCTTCAAGGGTACCATGAAGGAAAGAATTTTTTCACATCCAATTGGAACTGCCACTAATCAAAGTGAGCAGCTAGAGAAATAATTACACAAACTGAACCCATCTTAGCTAAGTGAGAAGCTATCAGTATAGTTAGGTCCATAAGTCTACATATACCCTTTTGCCACCAAACGTGCCTTATACCTCTCTACATTGCCATTTGCTCAGTGTTTCACAGTATAAGCCCATTGACAACCAACCGCTGGGGAAGAGAAGTAAGGCCCTAAGTGCACTTAGATCGAAGAGCATGAAATTCTTCATCCATTGCCTTCTTCCATTTTGGTGAGAGAAGAACACCCTGAGCCGACCCGAGAACATTCATAGATGAAAGCAAAAACACAAAATTTTGATATGAAGGAGATAAGTGAGTAAAGGAAACATAATGAGAAATAAAGAGGGTGTAACTTGGGCGGGCCCAACCTGAGCCCGGGCAGATCCAACTTGCAATTTTATATGGGTTGGGTTTGGATTTTAGGGCCTCGGGCTGGGCCTAGCCACAAAAATTCGGGCTAATTTATTTTTGGGATGGGTCCGGGCAGATCCAACTGCTGATGTCCACGACAGCAGTGGTGTGGTGTTGATTGTGTTGTGGTGGCTGRCATATCTATGTTTTTAAATGCTTAAAAGTGAACCCCTAGACCTTGTGTGTAATCAGTTCTGCAGTDTGCAGAACAAGTGTTCGATGAAATGACTGAGTAATTTCAGTAGTGGTGTGTTGGTGGTAAATGGTCCTGCAGTATGCAGTCCAAGTGTTTGATGTGTTGACTGAATGATTTCAGCTTTAGAGTGTAGTGTGTAATGTGCAGTTGAAGAAAGTGGGTTGGTGGTATTGTAAGTGAGATAAATCTTGTGACAAGTGTGAGATTGTGGTGTATATTCAGAGGAGACATAATTGAGATGGCTTCAACTGTAGTTGGGAATGACAACAAAACAGGCATCATGCTCTCTTCAGATTATCTAAGTGTTCAAATGACATCCATCAAGTTGAATG